AGCTAGTTGACTTGGTAGGTGCAAGTCTGACATATTAGAAGTTTAGTTGTCATCCTAAAGCATTTTATAAGTGGAAAATAAACGACCCTTTTCTTTCTACTATTAAAATATGGGCCGGTATTAACACGTTTCTGTTACCTAACAAGATGAAAGAACTTTACTATAAGATTCTTCATATGTACTATCCCTGTAATTATTTACTCTCAAATTTTAAGTTGGACATCTCTTCACAATGCACATTCTGTAATTCTAATTTGGAAACAATATCACACTTATTTTTTGAATGTGAGTATGCAAAGGATTTTTGGAAAGAAATATCTTGGCTTGTTTTCTCAGCTTACAACAAACTTTTTAGTTTTGAGGTAATTAATGCACTATTTTTAATTTGGGAATCAGGATCAAAGGAGCTGGATGATATCTTAAAACTGTTAACTCTTTTTGGCCTATTTCATCTTCACAAATGTAAAGTTACTGATTGTATGCCCAATTTTAGGATTTTTTGTATTGATTTGAAATTATTTTCTGAATCTCTCTGCTCATCACTTAATAAGAAAGCTGCTAAAACTACTGTATTGATGGGAAAAATATTGACTTTGATGTAAGGGTTACCTCCGGTGTATTATTTGAAGTTGACATTTTATGTGTAATATTCCATTTAAGTTATTTTTTATTTTAATTTATTTATGATTTATTTATTTAAAAAAAAAAGATGTTTAACTTTTTATTTATTTGTTTTTGTTCTGTTTATATTTCATTTTTATTATTCTTTATGTATTTATTGTTTTGTATTCTGGGTGTGTGTATTTTATTGCTATGACTGTATCCCCTGTGAATGTTATATCTTCAATAAAAAATAAAAATAAAGAACTAATCAATTCTCTTTCCGGCTCAGACTGCATTGGTTAAAGCTGTCACGTGATGAAGGAACGACTCGGAAAACCCGAAGATTTGTCAGATAAGAGGTGAGGTGAGCTAATCATAGACTGAAGACCCAGGTAAACTGAATTAATCTTTTCTGTTTCTTATTGCAGTTTTGTATTGTTTGTAGTGTGATCAACGTTTGCGTTAGTAGACGTGTTAGGGAAGTAACACGTAACATTTTAATTGTATTTTGCGAAAATGAACGAAATGACTCGAAAAAAGATTCGTTCATTTTGCTGAACGAGACTCAAAGGTCCGACTCGGTAAAATGATCCGAACTTCCCATCACTAATCCGCAGGACTGAACAAGTAGGGCTCGCTGCAGCCTGCGGTGGACATCCAACCCCGCCCACATCCACGTGTGACATCATATGTCACGCCCATCCCCGATACAGCCCCGCCCACGTCCGAGTGTGCCGTCGGAAGCCACGCCCATATCAAATACGTCACCTTGTGATTTCCCCATCCCAGTACGGGGAAACCCGGAAGTATGTCAAATCAATTTATGGAAGTTTAGAGGATCTAAATAAAATAATGTTGTCCTTCGTTTTATTAATACACGTTTTCTTATTTTTGTAAAGGATGTCTAGGCTAAAATGGCACAACTTAAATCTAATATATATTTAATATGTCTGAACTGATTTCGTCATCACAACAGCCTGTAAAACGCTTGCATTGATTAAAGTAGGCTAATTGTTAATCAAAACTTTTAAACCTTACCTTGTTCATTTATATAATGAGATAATTTCACATTTATTACGATCGATTTTGACCTACCCAAGGCAACATTAAAATGTATCAAATTTAAAGGGGACAAGTTGGTATTGTATAATTGTCATTTAATTTTCTAAAGATGTGTTCCACTTATCATAAAGTGTTAACATTTGAATGACAGAATCAACAGTTCTCCATATGCAGTAGGCAACACACACATAGGCTGAATAAAGATAGCTTGCATTGATAGATTATATAAGTAACATGACATTGACCTTCAGACCTTGTTCATCACAACTTGATATGAAATGGATCCAGATCCTCTACATACTTAAAGATGAATAAAAAAGACATCCATTGTTTCATTGGATATTTTTATATTTATTATTTTACAAAAATAATGAAATGTAAAGTTTGACAAAAAATATACACTACCAGTCAAAAGTCTTTTAAACAGTAAGATTTTTATGTTTTTTAAAGAAGTCTCTTCCGCTCACCAAGCCTGCATTTATTTGAGCAAAAAATGCAGCAAAAACAGTAATATTGTGAAATATTTTTACTATTTAAAACAACTGTTTTCTGTTTGAATGTATTTTAAAGTGTAATTTATTCCTGTGATCAAAGCTGTATTTTCAGAATCATTACTCCAGTCTTCAGTGTCACATGATCGAAATCATTCAAAAGCTTGGAGTCAGTATAATTTTTTTGGGGGGGGGATTATATAAATTAATATTTTTATTTAGCAAGGATACTTTAGATTGATCAAAAGTGATGATAAAGACATTTATAATGTTACAAAAGATTTATTTTTCAGATAAATGCTGTTCTTCTGTGTGTGTGTGTATATATATATATATATATATATATATATATTGTTTGTTTGTGTGTGTGTGTGTGTGTGTGTATTTGTTGCTAGCTAAGTAATAACATGCCTGTGTAAAATTCAAAACATACGAAGCGTGCTAAACTGTTGTTTATGTACATGCACACAAACGACACACACATTTTTAAAGTTGTCAACGTTTTAAGTCTTACCGACACGGCAAACAACAATTTATTTTTTAGCGGTTGGCAAACAATACGAATTATTTTCTTATCGATGCTTCTTCCTTTTTCAAAATGAATGAGAATGTGACATATTTTGACATGGGCGTGGTTTGTGACATCACACTTGGATGTGGGCCTGGTTGGATGTCCACCGCAAGCTGCAGCGAGACGCTCCTCGAAGACATTATATATGAGATTCTTGCAAGTTTGTTAAGAATAAGTAATGTAAGCTTAATAACATTTTTGTGGGTTCTCGCTCATGTGGGAGTGGAGGCTAATGAAGTGGTTGATAAGCTTGTTAAGCAAGCTCTTAAACACTCAGAAATAGATATTCAAGTGACTCTTAGCAAAAATGAGGTTAAAGGGAAAATTAAAGAATTAATAAACAAAAAATGGCAAGAAGTATGGAACTGTGATAACAAGGTCAGACATATGTATAATATTCAGCAGCAAGTAGGAAATGGAAGAAGTATTTTTAGGAATAGGAAAGAAGATACAATTATTTCTCGCATCCGAATAGGGCATACTAGATTAAATCACTCTCTGTTTAATATAGGAAAACATGAAACAGGTCAATGTATTTTTTGTAATCAGGCAGAAACAATAGAGCATGTTTTAATAAAATTTAAAAAATATGGAAAAGAAAGGTTAAAACTCATTAAGGAAGTCAGAAACATGGGTGTTGAATCATTTAATTTGTCAAGCCTTTTGAAAGAGCATGCAGAACAAGGTAAAATATATGGTGCTATTGTTAAATACATTAAAGAAATAGGATTAATCAAGAGAATTTAGGATTTTTTTATATATATATTTTGATATACATATATAAATATGTATATATTAGTTGCTTATTAGTGTTTCACTCTCCAGTCCAGTTGGTGGCGGTAAATGCACCAGAAGTTGGTTTGCCATCCGCCATAAAACGTTATTAGAAGAAGAAGAAGAAGAAG